CACGACTAGAGCGAGGTCGCGGATCTTCTTGTGTTTTTTTTATTTATTTTTATCCAATAGAAGCTTACGGAAGAGGCTATATACTATACACGGCACAATTAAGGTCTCATCTACTTTGAAGGCTTGACCTCTATTGGATAAAACCTCGCCAGCACTGGGTAACGTCAATCGATTTGACGATTCGTCAGAGCTAATAAGAATCAAAAAAAATCTCAATTTTATCGATGTCTTTATATTTTATACTTACAAGGAACGTACCAATAGCTGCATTTTGTAGTTTAAGTTATTTTAAAATCTTGTATTCTTTTATATATTAATTTATAATTAAATGGTTTTATACAAATGTATGCGTTTCATTTTCTTTCGTTATGAAATCCTGGAGCTATCGACCATAGATAATAAAAATAGTGTTTCATATACTTAGGAAGTAACAGGGGATAATTTGGGATAATTTTGAATTTTGACTGCATATGCAATATGCAAAAGTTTACCATTTATATCATCATGATTTGAAAATTTTAAAAATGAGTCAAATGTTGACTCATTTTTAAAAATCTATCAATTTTATAACTTAACTTTTTCTTTAAATGTACACAAACTATTAAACATTGTAACAATGTCAAACATTTACATCAATTATCTGTCCAAATCAAAAAATGCAAGCCAAAGAACAAATTAACTTCAATATTTTTCGAGATTCTTTTCCACTGAAACTGAAATGCCTTAAAAAGAAAAAAAAACATAAATAATCTGGCAGATTATTATAAAATCATCCGTTTATAAGCTCTCTTAAAATACATAATGCATTATTCCAAAAAAAAGATTTCAAAGGAAGCAGCGCAATACTCGAACTTTTTTAGTTTTTAAATCTTCCATAATAATTAAAAATCATTAACTAGGCCATAGTTAACGTGCTGAGGTTTTGTTGAGGTTAATAAATCATCATCCTCCTTATACTCCGTAGGGTCGGCACAACAGGTTTTTGTCCTCCATATAACTCTATCATACTTAATATCTCTATAATAAAGGGACGGATGAATGAATACAATGTTAAGATGGATATGGGGTAATACGATTGGATAAGATACGAAATGAGTATATTAGAGGAAGTTTGTAGCCCCAGTGGTTAAGAAAATAAGGAGTAAAAGGTTAGAGTGGTATGGGCATGTTATGAGAAGGGATGAATCGCATGTAACAAGACGGACGTTAGTTATGAATGTGGTACATCGGTAGAGGTAGACATAGAAAGAGATGGATTGCGTGAAAGGTGACATGATCAGAAAGGGAGTGATGACTGAGATGACGGATGATAGATTGCTTTGGAGGACGAAAACTCGACGCGCCCTACGGGAGTAGGATAAGGCAGGGGAGATGACAATGAATAACACTATCATACGTCATCCGTCATCACTCCTGTTGATTTGTTGAGGTTAATAAATCAAAAACATAATAGACAAATATTTTATTCTCTGTTAAACTGGCAACTTACATTATATACAAAACTACGTGAACACAAAAATCATGGAAATCAACTGAAAATATACAGCATTGTCAATAAGAAAACACTTTTCCAAATTAAACTTTAAAACAAAAGAAAGCAACCACTCACAGTGGTGACTAAAGCGAACCTTAGTATTGTATTAGGGACTAAGTGTCTCATTTTGAATATAACATGTAATTTAAGCCTGGTTTTCTCATTAAAAAAGGTACACATTTTAATGTTTCAGAAACCATAAACTGTTTTGTCACAAA